TTTCAAAATGAAAAAAAATTTCTGATTCAAAAATTTTTCTTTCCAAATAGCCTTCATAGTTGATTAATAATTGACCGAAAATATCAACGAACCACGACAAGACGCAAGGCGTTTCAAGGATATTCAGCTTCTCCGCTGTTGTATCGGGTTTAGCAAAACTTCTGGGCGTTTTCCACAGATCTTGATCTTGATCGTTCTCACCATTTCTGTAAGCGAACAAACGCTTGTAGCTTCTTAGCTTCGCAGATATAGAAAACAGGTTTCAAATTACCGTTGAGAACTGAATCTACCAGCATCTATCATTTTTTGAAATGGCACTTCGGCTAAGTATACTTTCCTCGATAGTCGACCCGACTGCATTGTTTCGGCTGTTCTATTACGTGATACTAAACACGTTTTCTATGGCTAATTTTTTTAAAGCAGAACAGTTGCTGTCAACTCCCATTCAGGAACATGCAGTTCCATAGTAGTAAGACAAGAGCTACCTACTTCAGAAATTAAAATGAATTATGTCAACGAAAATGAAGAAAATGAAGTAAAATGGCATTATTTTGATACATTAGCGCGAATACAGCTTCATGCTACCTCAGTTCCTATTCTTGAGGAAAATTCTCGTCATTTAACATTCTGTACACTTCAACAATGACATCATCTTTTGACGAAATGAAAGTTATCATGATCTATGGGTTAGCGCAGCCAGGATCGAGTAACTGATTAACGAGATAAGAACCCAGATGAGCACAGCGCATTACAAAAAAATCAAGCTTATTGCTTTGGCCAGTGCTTATGTGACAGGACAAAATTAGGTACATTCTGATACCAATCACTCCTCGACCTGAAAGAATACTGCACTGCTTTCTGAATTGTGGGAGCTAATTCACTTATACTGCTTAAAGTCTCAAATTGTCAGATTTTGCTGAAACTTTTCAGCGAGGTACCTTAGCATACTAATCATGAAAATCCTATTCATTTAAGAGTTTTTTACGATTACGGTAAGTGCACCGGAGAGGATTTACTGTTGGTTTTGTGGGTTACTTAGTATACAAGTCATAAGAGTCAAATCTATTCCACACGCTAGTATTTTTTGTAGTATTACAGTAGGCAAGTGGTCAATGTCGCGGATTTGTCTTAAAAATACTCTGGGAGCGAATTTGACATTATTCTCGAATATGATATCTGCTTCGCACGATGGAGCATCACTGCTAGATGTTAGAGAGACAGTATATGTTTACATTCATAATTCTGGCTCCTAACTTCATTCCTTTAAAAAACCTTAGCGCAGAATGATTATGATTTTCGTGATAAGTACCAAACTACACTACCACTCTATACGAAGTTTCAGCGAAATTCAAAATTTTGGAATTTTGGTGCACAGTAAATAGGATAAGATAACAAGATTTATGTCTGATTTCTCTCGAACGAAAAAAAAACCAAGATTAACTACTTTGCAAGAGAAATTACTTTTCGTGAATAGAAGCATGAATAAGTGTGCATCTACTTTTAACTCCCAGCAATTAACTTGTGTTTAGTACATGCTAGATATGATGAGCACATGTCGACAATTGTAATGATACTGTAGAATTGTTTCCAAAAATTGAGGTAGTCTTCGTTTAAACAAGTTTTTGCTTTCTCTACATCTAGTCCTCAGTTGAAGGCACGCAGGAATGCCCAAAGCCTCCCAGCTTTCCTCTAAAGCAAGTGATAAGGCGCAACTGTGGAAGCTAACGCCTCTCAGGGGTCCTCAGACTGGGGAGAGCAAGCCCAGTGAAGATATGTATCCAGGACTTAGAAGATGTGTCGATAATACTTTAGCATCTAACATTTTTACTTCGTTTATAGAATTGAGTGTGGAGTCAACTTATCGGACTGTCTGGTAAATCTTGCAACTTTTCGGACAACCTAACAGCGTACAATGAAGTGAAAGGACAAGTGCATATGTATAACACCACACTACGCAAATGATAGATTATCGCATTGACATTGGTTGTCACTATAAAGATGTAACTTAGTACAAAAGTACTGGTTTGAGTAAATGTTAGTAAATGAAATCTATTCTTATTCTCATTACCACTGTATTCTACATTAAAAGCGTGATATTCAAAAAGAGTCATATTTTCCTCGGCATTTTCATCTCCTCCCTTCCTTTCTGGTTTGAAATTGCATGTCTGTCCATTTGGCCTTCGCGCCCATTCTGAGAGCAGGCAGTAAGTGAAGCAAAGGGTAGAGCTAGCGCTTGGGGGACGTTAGATTCCCCTAGGACGCGTAATCAGCCACTTTAGGGATAAGCGGCGAGAACTCTTGTTACATCCCGAAAAACGATCAAATTTTCAACATTTTCTTTTTTGCTTAGATTTCCTCTCAAATAAATAAAAGAATTCATTTTGTATACAGTTGCATGGATCCTGCTTCCAAAGCTCCAAAAAAAAATGTAACGTGCAATTCAAGGTACCCTTTAATCTGCTCACGGCTGCGCCACCCACGGGTACGCTTTAGGATGCCTGGGAGTCTGACCCATCACTGGATTACTTTTCTGAGCGCATATGCTGCTCGTATTCAACAGATTAACACTAATTATTATTTAGGAATATAGTGTTGTATCCCCCCGTGATGGTCTACCGCCTCTTCGTAGCGAGAGGGTGACTCTGGGTGTCGAACTGTGAAGTACACCGGAGGTTTATCCTCTAGCAGGGTCTCCCAAGCTGAGAAGGAGTTCGACGTTTCCGGTTCCCCGGATGACCAGCTAAGAGTAGACCATGCCAGAAGCACAACCGTCTGGCTGATTCAGTCGCTAGGTGGTTTTCTGATCCACATAAGGTCAGCGATTGCCAGTGGTGAAAGCTTGGCAGGGCCCTGGCAAGGCACTGCTAATGTTTGGGGAGATTCCTTTACTCATTGCCCCTACAGCATGTAAGAGAAAAAGAAGCCCTGCACACTGGATCACATCCACGGTGTCGGATGTCATCAAGACCAGTGTACTGCACAGGACGCCATGGATTTCGGACCAAAAGAGCAGTCAACGACTCGCCATGAAGAACTCATGCTCTGCACCTACAACGCCAGGACAGTCTCCACCAACGCCGTTCTTCACGCCTTTTTCGAAGCTGCAGGGCGCATCAACTACCACGTAATCGCCTTGCAGGAAACAAAGTACAGGAAGACGTACGTGAGACAGCTGAGTGATGTTTCAGACTCATCATTCGTGGTGAAAAGGTTCCATCACGGCACTGGAGGCGTTGATTTGTCGGGGCACCCATCTGTTGTCCATCTTGTCGGCGTTGATTTGTCGGGGCACCCATCTGTTGTCCATCTTGTCGAT